TCTTCAGAATGTTTTCCCCCCATGCTGGCCGCAGGCTGTTGGGTTCCTAGCAAGGTGGCAGCCTGGGGAGAAGGTGAGGAGGAGTGGTATGAAACTGACATGCTGAGGAGACCGGCTCTTATCAGAGACCCCACGTGGGCAGGGAAGGACAAATCTTAGCCCATCTCCCCTTTGTGGGGCTGGGGCATTGGCACTTTTCGTAGGCGTCGACTGGCACTTTTGAAAAGCGTGGCGGAAAGCGGAGCCTACTGCAAGAAGAGGTGAGCGCCGGGAGAACGGATCAGAACTGCCTTTCCTACCCTCTCGCCTGTCATCTCAATGGAGATGGTTGAAGACACGCTTCAGCACACCAAGGGACTAGAAACCCCTAAGAGCCTTCAGCGGGCCAGGGTTCGGGTGCAGAGCTGGGGGACCGAAGTGGTGGTGTGTGTGTGTGTGTGTGTGGAGGGTTATAGCCCCCCCATCCCTACGCCTCACGAGTCTCTGCCGAGCCAAACCGATACCCTAGTTCAGCCCCATAAGGTCAGAAAAGCCAAGAGCAGACAGACAAAAGTTGCAACCTCAGCATAGTCAAACACTCCCCTCAAATCATTTATTCTCTGCCCTCTCCCCTCCTCAGCACGCTGCAGAAAGGAGCATCTCGCCTGTGCCCATCTTTATGGCACCTGTGTGTGCGCGCGCGAGAGAGGAAGTCAATAACTGTCAGTTACTAAAGAATCCATCATTAAGCCGGGAGGTGTCATCATGGGCCCACATCCTATCCCCATCCACACCCAATGGCTTTGATCGTCCTGGGTACTACTAGGAGCCCCAGAGTAATAATCCTTCTCCCCCCTATTCGACCAAAGCCCATGTCCTTATTTACCTATTTGGAATATCCGCTATTTGTTATTAATGACTTTACCTATTTAAAATGGAGGGGTTGTAACAACATTCTAACCATATGGGGGGGGGGGGAAATAACTCTTACAATGCCCTTTTCCATGATGCAGGCCCAGCCAGTAGTTCTCGCCTGAGCTCCTAAGCCATTAACATAAAAGGACGAATTCAGCTGAGAGTGTTCCTGAAAAGCCATTTTCTATCTCCTTTGGACATGCTGCGAGGACAGGGATCTTTTACATCCTAAACCTTTGGCATTCAGAAATTCTATTAAACTCTTATCTCTAGGCAGCAGGCCTGGTGCTACACTACATCTTCATTGTTCGGCATTCAAGATAGAATCAAAGGGAGGAATCAGGCGGGATCAGCTTCATTCTGTTAACAATGCTGGATGCGACTCTTGAATGCTATTTCATTCCCACACCTCACGCTAAAAGTTGGGAAACAAAAGCAAGGCAGATAGTACGAAAAAACAAGAGAAAAAGGGCGGCTGTGTAGTTTATGCACACACCACGCACCCAACCTCGAAGTGTACTTCTAAAATGTATCCTGGAACTCTAAAGTTATGCAATTCCGCTGTTTATTCCGCCCCCTCCCCCCCGCCGAGTCTTTGCAGTTTCCAAACTTGTAAACCCCAAACCAGCCCACCTAGATTTAGTCAGCGTAAGGCTAAAATGTATCGTTATCATCACTAAATTATTGTTAACGTGACACAAAACATGGAGGTTGTTATTGTTCTTTTAAACCTAGCACTGTTTTCTAAAACGAAGATAAATTGCTTACATGCTTAATTTATGTATCGTTAAAACACTCGGCAACACACATAATGGGTCGGGCGACTTAAGACGAAGTTTTCAACTTTTAAAAGCCGCCGGAAAGCGAGAAAAATGGAAGCAAATGCAGGCACCCACTGGACAATCAGCACTAGTGACATGGACAGCTCCTGTCCTTTTTTATGGGCAATTGCTGCTATCTATTAGTTAGAAACACCCGCCCTCGTGAAAGCGCCTAACGTCACGATCACAGCTAAGCAAAGCTGTTGCAAAGGCGACAGTCTTTGTTTTCTTTTAATCGACACGTCACACCGAGAAGCATAGAATGCCAATGCCCTGGGTTTTTAAAACTGTAAATGTTATTTCTGATTTTTCAGTAGCCACTTTGACAGAGGAAACACGGTTCTTTTCCTTTGAAACAGAATGGATAGTGGGAATCATTAGAACCTTAGAGGCTGCAAACTGAAACTGACCCGTTTCATTTTGAGGATCTTACAAAATTGAAAGATTAAAAAAACAGAATGGATTATATTTATCCTCTCTCATTTAAAAGCTGGATCATGAGTCATTTAAAACCTGAATTAAAAGTCTAAGGCTGTTTAAGATCCAAATGTAATTATTTGTGTACATCCACACAGCAAAATGCTAAGCTGCAATTTACTGCTTCTTAAAGCCTCTTTCCAAGTACTTCGGGTCTCCAACTTGGTGCATTTATAATTGGCACCAATTTCTACGGTGGCCAGCTGGGGGGTGAAAGATTTTTCTTGTTTCTTTCTGAAAGCTTCGATTGCAGATGGGCCGGCTGCCTTAATGCCTCAGACTACAATTAGCGCTGGTTGCCGAATAGAAGTGGCCAGCATTAATATTGTATATGGGACAGCTGAAGGGTTGGGGAAAGAAAGCCCTGCCCACTGTAGGCCCCTGGCAGATGGAACACCGCCACACACACACAAAAACTTTTCAGAGCCGGCGGTTTCTAGAAAACGTCTTTGTCTCAGTTTGCAGTTGGAAGCTTAAGAAAAAAAAACCACCACACACACCCTGCTACTAATTTTTGGAAAGCATCAGCTTCCTTGTCAGGCCCATGATTTTTTTACATAACAACCTTGCTTTTTCGACATGGCATTTAGAAACCATAACTGGCACACCACTTCAACATCTAACAGGCTTCAGTCAGCTTTATATTTGACCTACTCCCCTCCCCCATTTATCTCCTAATACGCAAAAGCTGAGAAGGCTGGCCAAAGCTGTATTCAAACAACCCGAGAAAGCAACAGAGAAAGAGCCCTTATTCGCCCTCCCTCCCTCCCTTTTTTGGCAATACACAGAAGACCTGGTAAAAAAAAAAAAAAAACATTATTTTTGGAATCTACTTTCAGCAAGCAAAGGTGAGAGTCACACCGATTTTCTCCTATTTTGTAAGCGTGTTTTTAGATCTAAAAGCTGTTGCAGCTGAAATCGAGTTTAGCCGTGTCAATTTTTTTTTGACAACGAGATTTTTTTTTTTAAATCAGATTGGCACTTGCTAAACGCTAGAAGTGAAGGTTTACTTTTAAAATGGAAATGTATTCAGGAACATCTCTACGGACACATCCTCAAAAGAGGAGAGGCCAGAGAGGGATTTTTTTTAAGGGCTTGTTCCTGGCCTCCCCCTCGACATATTTTCCTTTCTGAGCCACATACATTTGAAAAAAGATTAAATTGGAGGCACGCTTTGAAGTTAGTCATTTTCACACAGACTCTCTTTGCTTGGAGCATTGAAATTGACATGTAACACAGACGCGGAAGAGACCGGCTAGGAAGCTGCGAGGAAGGAAAACAAAACAAACCAAAAGTCACAGAAGGCAAGAAAAGTTGAGAGAGGCTTTTACGAACCAAGGAAAGTCCCACACAGCTTCATCCTTGCTAGCGAATTAGCCACCGCCTCCCCGCCAGGGAAAAAAAAAAACCAAAACACAACAGCTCAAGTCAGAAGTTACTTCATCCCTGCAAAAAGTTACACTCCAGAGCAAAAACTTATGTGCTTGAGAGGCCCACAGAGAGAGGCAGCCTGGCCAATAGGAGCTCGCTGAGCTGCTAATTACAAATCCATGCTGCGTACGCGGCGGCCAATCCCAGGTCTGCAGAGCGCACAATGGTTCTTCAGGCTGGAGACAATGGGAAGTTGCCGCCCCGGGCTGAGCATGCGC